CCTCCATGGGTAACGTGTTCTTGGCCCAGGCCAGGACACTCAGATTCAGTTCCTGGAGAGACAGGAATTATTAGGCAGGGTGGGTGAAGGCACTCCTAGCAAGGTGGTTAGCCTAAAGATGGCAGTGTCCACCATTTCCACAAGATGGGGAAGGCCAACCTGAGAATGGACACAAGGTGGGGGAAAAGAACTGATAGATAAAATCCATCATTCTTAACAATGTTATTACTGACAGTCAGGGAGCACTTGCACAAGTCTTAGGTACTCCACATGAAGCATCTCACTTAATGAAGGAGGTATTAATAATCCTAAGTAGGAGAAAACCGAGGCCACAGAAGTGACTGAACTTCTCCTAACCGCCTACTTAGCAAATGGCAGAGCGGGAACCCAGACTTCAGTGTCCCTGAGGCCTTATTCTCCAGGCTGCGCCATCTCCCAGTTCAATGGACTTCTCACATGGGAAAGAGAAGACCACTACTGCTGTCAGGTAAATAAAAAGGACATCTATTCCATTAATGGAACTTTTGTGCCAAAATGTGTTTTCTATGATATCCTGGGTCAGTTCTGGAAGCAATCTGAACTCCTTGGAAGACAGTTCATATTTATGGTAGTTATGACAGCAATTGCTGTAATAAGAATGAGCTGTTTTATCTCATAATTATTTGACAATTGTCATTTCAGGGGTGGCATGGCTACTGTCATCCCCAAATAAAGATAATTCTGAAATGCTTTAGGTGATTTGGAAAACATCTCATTTTCATTTTTCCTCTATGGCAAGTGTGATGCTATTACCCATGATCACTTAATGATTCAGTGTAGCACAGAGAAAGCCCTCTCAAGCCTGTCTATACTTCCAGAGCCAAACTCCAAGCAGAAGTGATTAAAGCAAGTTTCTTTTAATTAGACTTGTCGAATAATCCTAAACAGCTTTTTAGTTTCTATGTACTTTGAAGCAAATGGGTTCCAGGAATGGGTCTAATAGGTATTTCTCTGAAGGACAACTTTTCTGCTGGCATCAGGAAGCAGCTCAGAGTCAGAACACAGGCCATGTGGGCAGAGACCAAGAGATTTCCATCAACAGCCATGGCACTGGGCAATTTACAAGATCTCATCCCTTCTCGGAAAAATATACCCAAGCTTAAAGAACTTGAGGGGTCCTTTGCCAAGTCCAGTTGGAGAAATACACAGGCAGAACTATGGCCAAGGGAGCTTTGAGTATCTGCCACTCATCTGCTCAAGTGGACTAGACGTCCAGGGCTCACTGCTCCAACCCAGAAAACAAGGCCAATAGGCAGAGGCAATAGTGTCTGCTGATTTAGGAGAGCATGGTCTTTGGAGACAAACAGCTCACATTTAAATCCTGGCTTTTGCTCTTTCTAGCTGTGTGACCTTGGCCAAATTACTTAATCTTTCTGTGCCATAGATTTCCCATCTGTTGATGATAATGAACAGCTTCCTTCAGAAAGCAGTTATGAGGATTAAATAGCTTAAGTCTGAATAGTGCTTATCACACTGCTAGGGCTTGAATGGGAAAGATGTGTCTTTTTGCTCCCAAAGGAAAAGAGAGGAAGTTTCATTTACTTTACTTAACAGACATATTAATTAGGATTCATACACAATAATGGGAAATGCTTTTATAAAGATAATAATTTTTGACATTTGGTTACCACGGCTTTGCTAATAAAGCTTCCAAATAGAAGACCCCTCTTTTTAAGGAATAGATAAGAAAGGACATGGTCTATTCATCTTATAGTAATGCTATGAGCAACTAAGACTTCCAGTGAGCTATAAAACATTGTGCATCATATGTCACGTACAGGGGCAATATTCTCATCCCAACTCCTTTTCCTTGTCTGTCATAGTAGTCAATTTTTGTTTGTTTGTTTGTTTCTACTGGCAGGAACAAACCCTGTCCAGTCCTCTGAATGGGTACTATCTCCCCTTTAGTGCTGGGTACCACATACACATTTGTAGTCCCTTAGAAGCCTGACTTGAGTAACAATTGGTCCCTCGTAACTCTCCCATTGGCAAAGCATTAAGTCCATATCTAGGAGGAACTGGGAAGAGCTCATTCATTTATTTGTTTTCTGAGACCTTTCTCTGTAGATTAAGCACCAAGAAAAGGAAGAGAATGTTAAAAAAAAAAAACCTGACATTATAAGTTTTAGGCAAAATTACACAGAGATCAAATGGTGTCCTGAATAGAGAGGGTGGGATGCTAACCAGAGGAGGGAACCTGTGGAAGCAGCACAGCTGAATTTCTGGGCCTGGGAGGGGTCAGGTCTCAGGTCTTCCCTATCAAGAGGAGCAGCAGGAGAGAGGTGTGTAGCTTCTTTGCAGCAAAGGTTTCTTTAGGTAGAAAAATCTTACTATGAGACGTGTTTTATGGTTTAAATGTGAAGTGTGCCCCCAAACCAAAAACGCATGTGTGAGACAATGCAACAAAGTTTAGAGGTGAGTTAGCTTCCACATATCAGTGAAAACATTTGACCATGGGTTTTTGGATTGTCTTATTTCATTTAACATGATAGTTTAAAGTCATTCTTCTTTATGGCTGAGTAATAGTCCCTTAAGATGACTGGGTTATGAGAGCTTTAACCTAATCAGTACATTAATTTTATGACAGGGATTAACTAAATAGAACTCCAGGCAGGTGCGGTGGGCTGGAGGAAGAAAGTCCTTAGGTACAATGCTTTGGGGTATATATTTGTCTATGGTGAGGGGAGTCTGCGTCTCTCTGCTTTCTGGTGCTATGTCCTGAGCCATTTTCCTCTACCATGCTCTTCCACCATGATGTTCTGCCTCACCTCGGGCCCCAAAGAATGGAATGGGGCCATCTATGGAGAGAGACCTCTGAAACAGTGAACCCCCAAATAAACCTATCCCCCTCTAATTGTTCTTGTCAGGTCTTTTGGTCACAGAAGCTAAAAGGCTGACTGCAGCCACAGGGGAGGAAATGGTATCAGTCCATACAGAAGTCCCTCTGTGTGATCTCTGAGGCAGTTTATTTGCAAACGGCTTGTCTTTCACTTTTCCGGGCAGTTTCATTTGCTTTTTAAGAGATTTCTCTAATGCAGTTCTCTGGCTTTCAACTCCCACAGGAACGTTAGGGCAGTGTTTGGAAATGAGAAAGATAAAAATGCATTCCTCTTAGAAGTTCGTCTAGAAAGAGGGGAACCGGCGTGGAGGTGGGAGCTGTTAAGTGCCTCAGTGAGGCCATCTGCATGTTTTGTCCTGGGAGGCAGCATGGCCCCAGGAGAGGGCAGGGAGGTCCTTCCATGCCCTGGTTGCAGGGAGCTCATTCTCCTTAAAGGTCACTGTCAGATGATTCTGGACAATGTGAGCAGGAGGCCAGGGGATATTACACTGGTCTGAGCAGGTCACTTGTAGCACTGTTTACAGCAGCAAAGGCCTGGAAACACCGCAGATGATTTTTCCACAGTCAGATTAGCTGAGCTGGGGCCCAGGGAAGCACATATTTTGGCAGAAGTGTAAATGTAAATTTGAAAGGTATTGATAAGTTAATATTAAAATTACAATAAAATGTTCCAAACTTTGCTTTTACTTTGCTAGGATCCAGGCCCTTGGAAACACAAAAGCCAATATTAACTTACATTATTTCCCTTCTTTTCGAGTTCAAGTTCAGCCACCCATTCCCACAGAGGTCACTGCTAATTTAACTAAGGAAGGTTTAAAAACAAACAAAAAACAAGCAAAAAGAACACTGTTTTCTTTGCTTTCTTTATTTCTCGTGCCGTTCTTTCCCCGCCTCTCCTCCCTGCTCCCATATCTCTTGTTTTCCATATATACATCCCACCAACATATGTAGCTTATCTAATTTTTTAATTTTTCATGGTGTGAGGTTTGAACCTAGTGGCGCTCTACCACTGTGCTACATCCCCAGCCCTTTATTACTTCATATTTTGAGACAGTCTCACTAAATTGTCCAGCTGGACTCAAACTTGCAGTCCTCCAGCTTCGGCTTCCCAAATCATTGGGATTACAGGCATGTTCTACTGTGCCCAGATATGTATATTTCTTCAATATTATTATGATTTATCTTCCATCTATATTCTTAAAATAAAATGATATGTAACTATTTTAAACACATATAGATAACAATGTACTCTAACAAGCAAGGCACAGATAGATCATTGTGAATAAGCAGCATTTATGTGAATGCAAATACCTGTATTTGTGTAGGTTTTGGGCTGAATATTTGCATCATCCCAAATTCACATGCTAAAGCCTTTATTGCTACTGTTGTAATAATACTTGGATGTGGGGCATTTGGTGATCATTAGAGTTAGGTACGGTCATGTAAGTGAGGTCTAAATGATGAAATTATTGTCCACAGGTGAACAACAAGAGGGAGAAGAGCTCTCCCGCATTCCACCATGTGAGGACACAGCCAAAAGGTAGCCATTTAGGAGCCAGGAGGAGGACCTCGCCAGGAACCAAACCTGCAGGCACCTTGATCTTGAGCTTTCTGGGCTCCAGGACTGTTTAAATCTCCAGTCTGTGGCATTTGGTTAGAGCAGCCTGAGCAAAGTAAGACCATCTAAGTATACAAGCTTGGTAATTCAAAGACTATTTCTGGAAGGCTAAACAAGAAACTAGGATGACTGACTGTGTCCCAGACTGTAGGAAGTTCCAAAAGACCTGAAATGAGGATCTACATTCAGACAAGTAAGCCCTACTTATTGGAGTATGCCATTCTATGTATAAAATGCTTTTTAGTAATAAAAATCACTATATCTTTCAAAATGTCTTTCTCATAGACTCATCAAAACATAACACAGCATCACATACAAAGTCCCTGCAGCTTTCTAAATTCAATGATCTATTTTGGGCTTATGAAGAAATTTGTGACACAACTTTTTAACATTCCCTGACAATGTTAACTACCCCAGTGTCACACCTGCTCTCTAAAGGCAGGTATTCCAATGCTCATTTACTACACAGTATCTTAATGTGCCAGAGGGTAAGGTGAGACTTACCAGTAGAACCGATTTGGTACCACCCCTTCTTGAATAAGCTGCCATCTTCTCCCAAACTCGGCAGAGCTGTATAACTGTAAAAAAAAAAAAAAAGAGAGAGATCATGAGCCCTAGGGTACACCAAATGCACAAGCATCAGTTTTTCACTTTTAAATCACTAATAATAATACTTGCCATTCACTGAGCACCTGCTACATGCCAACCAAGTGTTCCAATAACTCATCTCTATTCTTCACATAAATTCTACAAGATAGATATTAACAAATACCTTTTAGAGTTGAGAAAACTGGGGCTCAGAAGGGTTAGTTGACTTGTTAGAAATCACATGCCAGAAACGATTGGAATCCATACCATGTTCTGCCTGGAGACAAAGACTGTGGTCCCACTTGACTTGGCATCCACAACACTGTGGAGACTGGAGGGTGGAATATGTAGACTTAGCTCAGTGTAACCTGTACCTGACTAAAATGATAGAACGGCAAGGCCCGTCCCCCAGGATAAAGGAAGGGCCAGGAGTCGGCAAGGGATGCTTCATGGACTTAGTGGAGAAGTAGTTGGGACATGAATGGCAGGATTCAAACTAACAAAAACAGCATTACTCACAGGGGAGCTGCATGGGTCAAAGTGGTGAGGTGGACAGGGACCCTCGATGAACAAGCCTTGGTTTATGTAAATGAGTGCAGATGAGCATGTTGAGGGCAACATGGAAGAAGCTCTGAACGTCACATTAGGGAGACCAGACTTGATCCTGCAGGAAGGAGGAGCCAATGCTGGTCTTTATGAGTCACCTAAGGAACCTCAGGTTATAAAACAGCACTCCACATTGACTAAGCTCTTACCAGAACCAAGTGCTTAGCATGCATTATGTGTTAATGCATCACTCTGATAAATGAAATTATTTTGACTGTTTTACAGATGGCTCCACAGCTGGTGAGATTTAAAAATCCACTTGCCACACTGCTTTAGTACTCACCCAGGGCAACTGCACAGAGTCCCTACTCACAGGATGGGGACTGGCCCTCCTATACTTCATCTCTCAGAATATCTTTTTCCTTTTTTTTATGGCTTATTCCTCATTGCTCTTTGACATTCCTGCTCTGGTAGTCTTTATGTCATACTGTGATTTTTTTCTGCCCTGAAAAGCATCCTCTGATGGCAGCCCAGAGCATCCCCCTTGCTCTTTGTACCCCAGTTCCAATGGGCACTTTGTTACTGATTTGGAAAATGTCATTCAGAGCATCTCTTTTCTGCTGTGTTCCTGGTCTGTAATGCACCTGCCCCTCAATATTCCACCACGGTATCTGTCGGCTCCCACAGAGTGACTGGTGAGTCACACTGCACTGAGCACCGTGACCGCCCAGCTTGCTCATCTCTGCCCAGCCACGACACTCAGGGGAGGGTCAAATGACTCACCAAATGACTCACCACGGCTGTAGATGCACCAGGCGTGACCGAGGAACAATGCATCTCAAGAGAATATTTACTGAGCCTTTAAGGAACCTGCTATGACATTGTGTCCATTTGATAGAACACATCCTGACTCCACAGAGGATGCTTCTAAGATGAGCAGCTCCATCAGATACAGCTGGAGAGTGTTTGAGCATCCAGCCAAGGAGAATCTGTGGCTTTTTATTTCAATGTACATTATTTTTTCTTTGCTCATCATTAGATTTAGGATCTTGAATGTTTCCCCAAATCCCATGTGTCAAAGGATTGATCCCAGAGGGACCCTACTGAGAAGCACTGGAACCTATGAGCCGTGAGGCCTCCTGGAAGTTGCTTAGGTCACTGGAAGCATCCCCTTGTTTTAGTCAGCATTTTTGCTGCTGTGACCAAAAGACCTCACAAGAAACATTTTAGAGGAGGAAAAGTTTATTTGGGGGCTCATGGTTTCAGAGGTCTCAGTTCACAGATGGCCGGCTCCATTGCTCTGGGCATGAGGCAAGGAAGAACATCATGGCGGAAGCATATGGCTGAGGAAAGCAGCTCAGGACATGGAACCAGCGAGACCAACGAGACAGCTTCACACTCCAGCTCCAAATTTCCCTTTTACCTGTTCTATTCGTTTTTTTTTTTTTTTTTTTTTTTTTAAACCTAGAGCTACCCTTCTTCATATGAGCTTAGGGTGAAGAGAGTTCACACCACTGTAGTATGCCTATGTCTATATGCAAAACCATGTAAATATCTATGTTTACATGCAATACAAACGTAACAGAGTCAAGATGGTTCAAAATAATAATTCTGTGTATGAAGCCTAGACTCACGTAGATCCTGTAAGAATCATACATAAACTCTAAGGGCTCATATGGTTACTCCCAGGAATTGCCATCCCTGTTCCCACAGATAATTCATCTCTGTGAAGGATTGTTGGGTGCCAGCATCTGTGTTTTTTTATTTTTTTCCCTGTCTTTGTAAATTTATCACCTAGGCTTGGATTCCGAGCCTGTGGACCAGTCAGGTATGTCCCATGATATTTGTTCATATCTTCAAAAGGCTCCTTTGTTATTTGTGAGCATCTAGAGGTCCCTGGAGCAGTGGGTATACAAAACAATTCAATAAACCAAGCCTCTCTCATTCAGCTCAGTGACATCCATTCCAATTCTACCTCTGGAAAGGTACCCTTTGGTCTTAGTGGGTGGGCTTTCTCATCCTCCCACTCCCACCTAGGCACATTCCCCTCCTCTGCCTTTACCCAGGCCGACCACCCTGCCACAGGTTCCTTCAAGACTTGTCTGCCTTGATGCCAGGTTTTTTTTCAGGCCACATCAAAGGCTGCCTTCTTTATAAACCTTCACCTACCCATGAAGATTCCTACTGGCCTCATCTCCAAAGACCTGTGATACAACAACAGATACTACTGAACTACAGATCCCATATTTATATTTAGTTCTTAGTCGTCTTTAAAGAGAGCCTTCTAATAATGTAAGGTAGGAACTTCTTCCTATATAAAATCTTGCTAAAATATCCAAGAATACTCCTGCTTTTTTAATGACTGCAATGTTTTTAGATGTCATGAATCCCATTCTTCTGTATGTATAGATGCCCAGAGCACAGTAGATAATAGAAAGGAAAGGGGTTGGTTCTGCACCAAGCTAAGCCCCCTGTCATAAATCTACATAGTAAGGAACTCAGGTTTTTCAGCAGATGGATAATGGAATTAGAGGAATATGGTTTGCTTCCAAGGATACATGGCTATAGTCTAATATCTTAAAATTAAGTCTATAAATATCAGTGCATTTGAAACTCCTAAAGATTTGCAAGTAGAGTCTTGCACATTCACCCTAAGACAACATGGCTCTGTGTACCCCACCTACGACTTCAAACATTTTCTCCCTAAGAAATTAATTGTCCAGCCTGGTGTTATACTAAAACCAACTCTCAGCCATTCAAGTTAATGTGTTAATTAAATCTACAGAGTCTGACAGCAAAGTTCTCCTCCGCAAAGAAGGGAAAGGTATGACAGCACTTTCCCCACTGATTCCATCTCAGCTGCCAGTGGAAGGCTTTTCGTGTAGAACAAGTCAATGTCCTTTAATAAAATTCATAGTGTTGGCAGCACCTAAATAAGATTTATTTCCCTCCCTGTCTGTGTCTAGCTCCAAGGTTTCTTTTGACTGTCAGAAGACAGAATGGAGAACTATCATTACTATCTGTCACATCAGAGAAAGCAGCAGCAGCTTTCTCCAGCATTGCCAAGAGAAACAGAGAGAGAGAGATTAGGAAGAGAAAGAAAGAAAACTTGAGCAAGCTTTAAGAGGGTAATGTGCATCTACTAATGCTTTGTCATGCATCCCAAAATGCCATTTGCAGAAGGTATTTGTTCTAATTCTGCAAACACTGGTACAAACTATGGGAAAAGAATAGAAGCAGAAATTTTGAAAGGGAAATAGGGAAGGATTCTAGTTAACTAAGAATAAAAGGCAGAAAATCCTTCTTGTCTAAAATCATTCTACGATATCTGAGACCACTTCCTTGCCTTTGTAAATATAAATTAATGAGCACAAACCAAAATTCATCTACGTTCAAGACCTATTAGCAGTCCCAGGGCCTAAACCTCCACACTGTCATTGTGCTGGTCTGGGGCTGTCAACACTTCTCCTTTCTGTCACATTTTTCTCCTGAGATTTAAAAAAAAAAAAAAATCTCACGTTGACTTGTTTTCTCACCATCTGCCTTTGTGTGCTATAAGAAGAGTGCAGATAAAAATAGACTTAATTGTAAAGGATGCAACTTCAAGGGTTAGTTTTGATGTGAGTTTACAACCAACTCTCAGGCATCTGTGGTGCCCTCTTCAGGTGGCCTGTGAAGCTACAATTTGGATGCTAGGCAAGGTCAAGAGATTAAATAGAGGAGTTTCAAAAGGGGGCTAAAGAGCTTGAATGAGAGAATGAATGAGATGCAGTGTCTTTAGCTACAGCAGATTAATATGGGGCGAGAGAAGGGGGTATTAAAGCAGTTTCCTCTCAGTTCCCCCCAATCTTATCATTCACATATTGGTTAAAACCCTAGAAGAATGGCATCTTTTTCCTAGTAGAAAGGAAATTCAATATACTGTATTGATGCAAATGTTTGTAATTGTCACTGTCCCTGGAAGGTCTTTTTCAACACTCCTTAATTGAATCAGGGTATCTTCTCTTTTCAGATTGTTAGATACACAAAATAAATTTTCTTTTGCAGCTACAAAATTGTTGCAAAGACATCAATTCCACAGGAATTGGTCCAAGGCAAATTGCACTGAAGCTAGGAGTCCTGATAATATGTTTGAAGTCTCTGGTTGACAGAACGGGATGCTATTCACCACAAAGCTTCCTGGGGCAACTTCCCTAGTTAGGGGCAGTTTCCTGGGAATCTGCCACACAACTCATGGAGAGACTTCTTTTGGTGGAACCCTTTCTGCTGTTGGCTCTTTTTGAGGTTGCCTGCTCACTCCTCTTTCCTTCTCTGCCCTTAACATTTGGTAGGCAGGGGGCCTGCGAATTGCATTTCTCAAAAAGGCTAACAGAAAACCTTGCCAGTTCTATTTATTTGCCTCATCTTAATTCTGCCCCAGGGATGGCCTCAGAACAAAGCACTC